CAATCCCGCACCTTTGGGAGGCTGAGGTGAGTGGATTGCCTGAGCCCACGGGTTCGAGACCCGCCTGGGCAGCGAGACCTCATCTCTACAATAAATCAAAAAATTAGCTGGGCATGGTAGCGCGCTAATTCCAGCTACTTGGAAGGCTGAGGCGGAAGGATCATCGGAGCCCAAGCAGGCGAGGCTGCGGTGGCCGGAAGCGGCCACTGCACTCCAGTCTGGGTGACAGAGTGAGACTCCAATTCAAAAATAAATAAAATAAAATAAAATAAAAGTAATGAAAAGAAAAAAAAATAGAAGAGAATAGAAAACCTGGTTTCCCAGGATGAGGACAATGTCAACACATAATTTCTATTCCATACTAAGTATTTCATATCCGTTCTTTGCAGAAAAATCACATTTGAGTAGAAATGTAAAAATTATTAGAAACATTGTGTCAGCACGTTGCAACATTACATCATGATCAATCTTCCTTTATGTCAGGAAAGAATAGGAGATTCAGCATTTGGGAATCCATCAATACAATTAGTCACATTAACAGAATCAATGAGAAAGTCATATCATGTTACAGATTAAAATGGTATTGTGACACTTTTAGAAAAGAAGTATACATTTATAAATCAACGGATAAGGGAGTAGTATATAATATTTCTGAAACACATGAAAAACAGTAGAAATTAAAAGTAATACAAATACGTTTTGGGAAGAAAGTTTAAATGGTATCACTAAGTTGATATCCTCTAATCAGTTTATCAATTGAGCCTGATAATGACACCAGCTATTTTTGTTCTGGAGAAAAAAAAAAAAACTTTTTTGCACAAAAGAACATTTAAATTGGAAATCCATAAAAATCTGAAAAATAGAATGATATTATACATAATAAGAGTAGGAAAGTAAAGCAGTGTGATAGTGACTTGTTTAAAAGATTGAGAAATCAAGGGAATACAAAGTTTAAAAGTAGAATAAGACATATATGTAAATGCACTATAAAATCAAGCAACAGTGGTGGAAGAGAAGTAGTGACCTTGCTGTTTCTCACTGGAGACTGAAGCTTACACATGTGGAGAGACTTTGTCTTCCAGTGTTTGCTTCTTGCAGGTCTTCCTCACCCATGTTAGGCAGAGATGACACAGCCCTTCAGACTGTTCAGAATCTTGGAGTCCGTGTCCATATTTTCCCATTGGCACCTTTGCAAGTGAGTCTTCTATGCTCTTCTCTGACAAAAGGCCTTCAGTGTAATGAGAAGTCACAGCTAGAAATTTGGCTAATGTGCCATGTCTCTTTACATCCCAGGGCTCTTTTCTTTGCTCCAGACACGTAATAAGGTCTGGTTTAGAGACAGCAAGTCCATCTCCTGGCTTCTGGGTGTCCCAGTGTCCTCCCTACGGACTCCCCAGACCTGCATGTCACAGGGCAAAAAGGGAAGAAGCAAATACACGCGGCTGTCTCCGAGATGATTCCAGCATAATGTTTTCAAGGTTCATCCATGCTGTACCTTGTGTCAGTGCTTTATTCCTTTTTATGACTGAATAACTTTCCATTGTGTGTTTATATGATATTTTGTTTATCCATTCATTTTTCAATGGACACTTGAACATTGCTTTCACCTTGTAGCTCTCCCTCCACAGAATGCTGTTATGGACATTCACATATAAGTATGTATTTGAAGCCCTGTTTTCAATTCCTTTGATTATACATCGAGTAGTGGAAGTGCTGGATCATATGGTAATTCTGTGTTTCAATTTTTCGAGGAACTGTCAAACTGTTTTCCGTACTGGCTGGACCATTTTACATTTCCACCAGCAATTCCATAGGAGTAGGTGTGAATGGTACCTCACAGTGGTTTGGATTTGCATTTCCCTAACGACTAAAGTTGAGCATCTTTTCATGTGCTTGTTGGCTACTTGTATATCTTCATTGAAGAAATGTCTGTTCAACTATTTAGCCTATTTATTAACTGAATTTCTTGTCTTTTTGTTGTTGAATTATAGGAGTTATATGGTCTGGATACTAAACTCTTGTCAGATTTGAGTTGAAAATGTTTTCTCCCATTCTGTGGGTTGCCTTTCACTGTCAATAGGGTCCTTTGATGCACATAAGTTAAATGTTGATTAAATCTAATATATCTACATTTTCTTTTGTTACTTATGTTTTTGGTGTCATATTTAAGAAACCACTGCCAAATCCAAAGTCATGAAGATTTGCCCCATATTTTCTTCTAAAATCCTTTGGGTCTTATTTTATTTTATTTTACTTTATTTATTTCTTTTGAGTCGGAGTCTTACTCTGTTACCCAGGCTGGACCTCCTGGACTCAGGCAATCCTTCCACCTCAGCATCCCAAGGAGCTAAGTCTATAGATGCCTACCACCATGCCTGGCTAATTTTTTTGTAGAGACGAGGTTTCACTGTGTTGCCCTGGCTGGTCTCGAACTCCTGAGCTCAAAGCAGTCTGCCCACCTTGTCCTACCAAAGTGCTAGGATTGAAGTCATGAGCCACTGTACCTGGACTGAGTTTTCTTTTAAAAATCACTTTACAGCCTGGATAACTTGGCAAGACCCCATCTCTATAATAAATCAAAAAATTAGCCAGGCATGGTGGTGCATTCATGTAGTTCCAGCTACTTGGAAGGCTGAGACAAAAGGATTACGTGAGCCCAGCAGGCTGAGGCTGCGGTGGCTGTGAGCATGCCACTGCACTCCAGCCTGGGCAACAGAGTGAGACTCCAACTCCAAAAAAAAACCACTTTACTACCCATTTAGGGTGGTTTGGGGAAGAAACAAAGCAGAAAGAATGTATGTATTCAATCCTCCTTAAATCAGAATTCTCCTATAGTCCATTAAGAGGTCAATATCATGGAGGTTTATAATAAGTACTTCTTAATTTGAAATGAAAATATGAGCATTAAACAAATAAAACACAGTTTTTCAGAGGTTTTGTTTTTTGTAGTTGTTGTTTTGGTTTTTAACCTGAGCACATTTTCCTTTCTCTAGAAAATTTCCGCTGCCTGTGCACCCATGAAAAAGGCTTCGGCTTCAAGGGAAGCAGCTTCCACCGCATCATCCCCCAATTCATGTGCCAGGGTGGTGATTTCACAAACCACAACGGCACTGGGGGCAAGTCCATCTATGGGAAGAAGTTTGATGATGAAAATTTCATCCTCAAACACACAGGACCAGGTAGGAGCCAAGCAGTGTGGGTGACATGTGAGGCTGGGCTGGGGCATGGAAGAATGGGCTGTGGTTCTGGCTGAGGGTCAGGTCAGGGAGTCTGGAGGAGACCCAGCTGCTAGGGTGGAGTTAGCTTGCTCACATTCATGTACGTTCCATCCCTTCCCCGTGGCCACACTCCTTATTAGCCTAACTTGGATTCTGTGGTCTGCCATTGTGAACTCTTTCATTGTCCTCACTATGCCCTGTCAATCTTACCTAGTAAAACCCCACTTTTCCTCACTATGCCCTGTCAATCTTACCTAGTAAAATCTCAGTGGCTGGTATCCCAGTGGCTAGAGAAAAGTGTAGATGTGTACCAAATGGTCCCACTTGTAATTTGTGGCTACAATTCTTAAGGGGGCCCTCGGCAACCTGATGAGTTTTCTCTAGTTGATGCTCAGTCCCAGTTACGGATGATGATTCCGTGGGCCTGTCTTCACTCCTGAAGTCTATCACCCATTTGATGCTTCACCTTCTGTATCTCTCTACACATGCACGCTCTGATTTACAGGGGACGAGCTGTCTCCCCTGAGGCCAGACCTTCCGCATGTGGACTGATCCCATTCCTCTCCTTCACCTAGTAGCTTGATTTCTGCATTTGTCTCCCTCTGCCTTGTATAATCCATTTTCCCTGTTTTGCTAGATGAGTCCATCAGCTTAAAAGCATGTGGTATCAATCTCAAAAAAAAAAAAAAGGTTCATCCTTGGACTCTTGTTCTTCCTCAGCTATCACCCATGCCTCTGGTCCTTTTTTTAGTAAAAACTTCTTGAAAAAATGCTGTAGACTTGCTGCCTTCATTCTCTCCAAGCCTTTCTAGCCAGACTTCTAGTCCTACCTCACCATTGAAACCACTCTCACTAATGATGCCCACATCTTGCCAGATGTCTGTTCTCATTCTTTTTCTTATCCCACTTCTCAGCAGCATTTCATATACAGGTTAGATCCCTAGCCCAAAATGCTTAGGACCAGTAGTGTTTCAGATTTTGGATTTTTTGGTTTTTAGAATGTTTGCATTATACTTACTGGTTGAGCATCCCTAACCCGAAATTCTTCAATAAGAATTTCCTTTGAGCGTCTTGTTGGTTCTCAAAATGTTTCAGATTTTGGAGCATTTTGGGTTTTCAGAGACTTAACCTGTGCTAACCCCATACTTCTTGGATCTCTCTTCACTTGGCTGGCAGGACTCCTGCCTCCTCTAGTCTCCTTTTACCTAATTGGCTGATTTGCCATCTCTTCCTTTTCCTGACCTGTCAACATTGAAGTGTCTCAGAGCTCAGTCTTGTTCTCCACAGAAATCTGGTACCCAGTACCCCCTTTTTCTGACTGATAGTTTATGGCACCCCTCTTTACTATGCTGACCTGAAATGTATAAGTGACCTATCTCATGTAACACATAAGTATTTTAAAAATCAGTACTATCCTACAACTAATAGCAAAGAACATCAAAGGACAGTAAGTTGTAATGAAAGAATGTATGTTGCTGGATGTAAATGTCCAAGCACAACTATGTCAGAAGACAGTGAATTATTCAGATGTGAGCACCTGTACTGAGACGCAGCAGCTGGACATACAGACGGGTGTGTTGACCAGCAACTTGGATGCCACAAGCAGTACTGCTGTTGGTGACATGATTTTGTGAAATGATAGATAAAGTTGGTTAGGTACCAGATTAAAGAATGATATTCTGTTGATTTACACAGCAGTTGTATTCCTAAAAGATTTCATTTTTTAAAAAAAACCTCCAAAATGTTGAACTTATATATATAATACAATTAGGTTTTAGGTGTAGGTAATTGTAAACACATTTTTCACCTACTCCAGTATCTGGCAGGACATTTGAAAGTCCAAGAGGTTATGGGACAATTCTTCATTGTGCAGGACATTGCAAAACATCTAGTATTCTAGGCCCCCACCTGCTAAATGCCAGTAGCACCCCATAATATTTCTGACAAAGACACATTCAAATTTCCAAAGGACTGCTAGAGGATAGGATCAACCCCATTGAGAACCACTACCCTAAGCAATCACATCCAGTCCCAGGGCTTTCAGCTGTCTCTCTTAGTTGAGCTTGTCTACATTGATGTCTCCATGCTTATGGCTCCCTGAGTTCCAGACTCCTGTCCAATGCCTACCTGTCGCCTTCACTGGATATCCCACAAGCGTCTCAAACTTCACATGTCCAAACAGTTCTTGGCCTTCTCTCCCAAACTCTTGATCCTCTTCTTCCCTGTTTCAGTAGATGATACCACCATGAATTTTGTTGCTTGGTCAGAAACTTACTAGTCATCCTTGACTCCTCTCCTGTACTCAAGTCATCTCCTGGCCCAGCTTCATGCATGTGTGTACACATACACCTAAACACTCTCTTACATGACTGCACAAATGCTCATACTTCCATTTTCTGCACAAATCCTCATGTCATTGGGCCTCACTGTGTCATATCCGACATTTTGAATGACTATTTCCACTGACTGTAAGCTCCATCAAGACTAGGCTAGGATTATGTTCATATATGTGTTCTGCTATGTTCTGCTCACCAGTGTTCCCAGGGTTTAACAGGGACCTGGTTACAAAGTAGACACTTAATAAGTACTTGTCAAATGAATGAATAAAACAACAAACCAGGATAAAATGATTGAAACAGCCTTGTTCACCCCACTTCATAGCTATTGATTGACTGTAAGGCAAGAAGGCCACACCTTGTGCTCTATGGGCCCAGAGTCTGAGCCTGCCTGGCTTAAGGGCTAGGAGCCAGGATTGGGGGAGCTGACATGGTCATTCTCTCCCCTAGGCCTGCTTTCCATGGCCAACTCCGGCCCCAACACCAATGGCTCCCAGTTCTTCCTGACATGTGACAAGACAGATTGGCTGGATGGCAAGCACGTGGTGTTCGGAGAGGTCACCGAAGGCCTGGATGTCTTGCGGCAGATTGAGGTATGTGTCCGGGATGGCCTTCCTTGCCCCTGCTCTTGATACACAACCCTGTGGGAGGGCTGAAGAGGGGCTCTGCAACCTAGGAGAGACAGGCCAGGGATTGCTTCCAGGAGGAGGGGCTGCGTCCGCCCAGGATCCAGGATGGGAGTGGGCAGGCAGGGGTGGGTGTCCCTAAACTGCTCTTCATCTCCCTCTCACTCCCCTGACCTCTCTTCTGTTTTGCCCACAAAGGCCCAAGGCAGCAAGGATGGGAAGCCAAAGCAGAAGGTGATCATTGCTGACTGTGGGGAGTATGTGTGAGACAGTGCTTTCTCTGCTCCCCCTTCTCCACTCTTGCCCCTGCGCATCCTGGAAGGAACCCCAGCCTCAGGGGAAGCAGCACTGAGGGTATCCTGTTTGGAGCAAGCATGAGACCTTCCTCGGAGTCAGCTTGGAGCAGCTCTTCTGCAGGCCCAGCCTGGCCCATTCCCCAACATGGCTGTGGGCCCAGGAGCCGGCACAGGTTCCACCCACCCCACTCCACCATGGACAGACTGTGCGTGGCCACTGACTTTTCCTGGCATTTGCTGCTGTGTCTGTCCTGGGTCCACCATTGTGGCTACTAGACATTTTCTTTTCTAAAATAAATCCTAGTTCTTGTACTGCAGGCTCCAGCTAGTTCCTGGGAGTTGTCAGAAATAGCCTCTGGGGCTAAGCTGTCCTCCTGGGGCAGGCTGGCGAGTGGGTAGAGCATAGCATCTTCCCCTCAGCTTTTGTTTCCTCCCTTGGGCAGAACCCTTTAGATGCCAGGTAATATATCTTCATACCAGATAGCCTCATCAGACCATGTCAGGACAATGGAAATCAAAGATAATGGAAAAGTTCCTGTCTTCTGCTGCCTCTTCTCCCAAAGTCAGCCACTAGTCTTATAGCCAGCAAGCGTACTTACTGATGAGTCTCAGTGATTCATTTATTTGTTCACTTTCATTCTACAGATTTTTTTAAACTGTTATAACTCAGTGTCTTCTCTGTGCCCGGTACTGTGCTTATTTGTCAGAAGATGGGGTTAACGAACCACTTGGGCCTAGTCCAGCCCAGTCCCTGCTTTCGTGAATAAAGTTTTATTGGAACACAGCCACACCCATTTGTTTACATATTGTCTATGGCTGGTTTCTTACTACAGCGGCAGAGTTGAGTACTTGGCAACAGACTCTATAGAGAAACAGAACCAACAGGATGTTTAGAAAGAGAGAGAGGTTTATTATAAGGAATTGGCTCATACATTTGTGAGCTGGCAAATCTGAAATCTGAGCAGCAGGCTGGAGACCCAGGAAGACATTGATGTTGCAGTTCAAGTCCCAAGACAGTCTGAAAGCAGAATTTCTTCCTGTGTTGACCTCAGTCTTTTTTTCTCTTAAGGCTTTTAAATGATTGGGTGAGGCCCACCCACACTATGAAGGGTAATCTGCTTTACTCATGCTACTGACTTAAATATTAATCCACCTAAAAAATACCTTTGTGACAACATCTAGACCAGTGTTTGACCAAAACTGGGTACCATGGCCTAGCCAAGTTGACACAACCATCACGGTCCCAAAGCCTAGAATATTTACTGTCCAAGCCTTCACAGAACAAGTTTGCTGAGCACTGAAGAGAACAAATGGTTCTACCCCTGCTGAGCTCACAGTGTGCAGCACTGCTTGGAACTGGAGTTGGGCTTCTCTCCACTTCCCCTCCAGCTGCTGGTCAGCCAGGTGACTTTAAAGAATCCCTCGTCTAATGAAGGCTCTGAGTCCTGTAGTTGTGAGACACCCAAACCCATTTGGGTTGGGTTACTCAGACCATTCAGAATCCACTGGGCTGGGCTTTTCGTCTTTTTTTTTTCCTTTCTGTTTTTTGAGTCAGGGTCTCATACTGTCACCCAGACTGGAGGGCACTGGCATACACACGGTTCACAGCCTCAATCTTCTGGGCTTAAGGGATCCTCCACCTCAGTAGCTGGGACCACAGGCATGTACCGCCACATCAGCTAATCTTTTGATTTTTTTTTTTTATAGAGATGAGGTCTTGCTATGTTTTCTTGAACTCCTGGGCTCAAGCAGTCTTCCCTCCTCAGCCCCCCAAAGTGTTGGGATTACAGGTGTGAGCCATCATGCCTAGCCTTTTTCATCTTGAGACCTGGACAAGCCAGGAGGCAGGAGAGGCCTGGTGATCCCTGGACAGCTCCTGCTAAGGGATAGTGGCTTTCTGGCCCTATCTCTGGCTCCCATGTGCCAAGTGGACTTTCTGAGCTTCCTCTGTTGCAGTTGGCTGAGTTTCTGACTCCCATGTGGCTAGGATGTATCACATAGTTCCCCCTAACCCACATGGAGCTTCCAAAAGACACCCTCAAAGCACAGAGTTCCCCACCCCTTCTGAGTATAAATTATGGCCATCAGAGATCAGTCACATGCGTTAAGGCAGGCATTTGTGAAGCTGGGGAGGATAACACTGATTTCAGGGCTCATACAAGAACCAAGAGAGGCTATGTATAGAGCATAACAGATTCACACAAGAGGGAGCTTCCTGTGACAATAACCTTGTTACTTTCTGCTCCTCCCTGATAGCCTGGGGAGGTGGAGGCCAGTGGGCAGTTCTGAAAGCTCAGCAGATTTGGAGCCATTGGGTGCCGACCTCTTCCAGTGCTCTACCTGGATGTCCATAGATGTTATCTCATTGAATCTACACTGGAACCCTGTACAGGTAAACTGAGGCTCAGGTGACATGACTCCCAAAGGTCACCCAGAATGGTGTGGCAGAGCTGGTTGGGACTGAAAACCCTGGCCTGTCTCCTCAGTAGTAGTAAAGGAGTCCCAGGAGGTTTGCTGGGCTCTAGCCTCAATATAGGGCAGTGGGAGCCAAGGTCTTAGGGAATAGATACAGCCATGGTCCCAGTCATTGGCTTGGATCCTGTGGAGAAGCAGGAAAGGAGGGGGTCCCAGAGCCTGGGGAATGGCATGCCTAGCAGCCTGGCCACCTGCTTCAGCTACTCACAGTGCAGCCCCAGCCCCTGTTGCCTTGAGAGTACTCTGGCCTATCTGGGAGGTAGACCCAGGGGCTGTGTGTGGGTCTTTTGCTGCAACCAGAAGGGCAGAGCTGCCTTCCCTGGGACTGCTTGGCTCCTGTCACAGGTGGCATCCTTGTTGCATGTTCCCATTGCTCCAGCACCAGGACTGAGGACACAGGGCTCCATTTTGGTGACTCATTTCCTGCCTAATTCATTCAGAGTTGGGCCCTGCCCATGTGCTGGCCCAATATCAGCTGCACAAATGCAGAGAGACTGGGGTGGTAGTCCCAGGATCATTGCTGTGACTGCTGGAGTTTAACAGTGTAACAGCCACCTCCAGACGCTGCTGGCATGTCACAATGATGGCAGCCTCACCGAGAAAAGAATCATGGGAGCCTTGTAGAGTTCAGGTGACGGAAAACTAAAGTGGAAAAAGCACATCACAAAGCAATTATGTAGTACAGTGTGGCCCCAATTTTGTAAAAATTTAATATGTAAACATAGGTATTTGTATAGCTTTAAAAAGCCTATAATAAGTTCACTAAAATATTGATAATGTGTTGTTATTAATCTGAGTTGTAGTACTATGGTGGTTGGAGTTGCATTTTATTTTTTGTACATCCCACTTTCCTCCAAAACTGCGTGTTTTTAAGAAATGAAATACATTTTTCAAATAGAGAGTCAAGTGCTTGCTTAAGGCCTTCCTGTAAGTAGCAGAACCCAGAACGGGCAGTCCCCCCATTCAAAGTGCCACACACTGCACCTGGTGAGTGCAGCCCTCTCTGCAGTTGGGGGATCCTGGAGTCTCTGGGAACACATGAGCAAAGTTTCACAGCCTCAGCCACTGCCACAGTGAGACACTTCCTAGGCCTTTAAGGGCAGCAAGAATACAGTCTTGTCCTCCAAGGAATGCCCTGTGGAGGCTTTTTAGGAAAAAGCACAGCACTGAAATAAATACACAACCTCTGCAGAACGCATTTTGTTTTTGTTTTGTTTTTCTGAGTTGAAGTCTCACTCTGTCGCCCAGGCTGGAGTGCAATGGCAAGCTCAAGACCATTGCAGCCTCGACCAGCTGAGCTCAGGCATTCCACTTCAGACTTTCAAGTAGCTGGGACTACAGGCATACACCACCATACCCAGCTAATTTTTTTATTTATTGTAGAGATGAGGTCTTGCCAGGTTGCCCAGGTTGGTCTCGAACCCCGGGCTCAGACAATCCTCTCACCTTAGCCTCCCTAAGTGCTGGGATTACAGGCATGAGCCACCACTCCCGGTTTTGTTTTCATGGTCAGCTTCGATGTGGCTTAAAATAAGCAAACTCATTTGTAATAATACCAACAAGTACCAGTTGTTAAGCATTGATATGTTAGATGTCCCAAATGTATGCACATCTAATCTTTGTAATAGCTTTGGGAGGAAAGAACCAATAACCTCTGCAAAGGAAGAACCAGGATTCAAATCTATTTGGCTCCAAAAATCTGAACTTTTGCTACAATGTCTCTCTTCCGATTTCTTTGGAATTTTTCCTGAACATGTTACTTCCCTACCTTAGTTAGAAGACATTGAATGCATCCTCTGCTGACTTGGGCTAAAGGCCAGTATTGCACTGCAAGTACCAAAACTAGACATTTCTCCTTCACCTATTTTTGTATGTGTCATCCCTTCCTGTCACTGGTTTCTCGTCGCTGTCAGTGGATCTCAACTGACCACGCTTATTCATCCTTCTAGTCTGGTGTAACCAGATAAACATGCCATCCCCTAAGCAAGGAAAAGAGGAAATGGTGGTATCTTGCTGCCTGCCTGGGCCACCCACTGCAGCTGCCACGCTGGGCTCAGCAAACAGATAAGTCATGGAATAAAATGCATAGGCTCTGTATCACAATTGTTTCACTGCTAAAGGGATTCTTCTATGAGATTTCATTTGATGACCATCCGGATGGCTGGAAGTCTGATGGCCAGGTAGGTAGGTGAAGCCTATTTTTCATTTGTTCTGCATGAACCAGGGGGATTGTGCTCCAGTTGGTTCCTGCAATGCACAGCTTGATTGATGGGTAAGGTGTATTCTATTAATCTACAAGCCTTCTGGTAACTGGATAGACATTCCTGGTGTACCCCTAACTATGCCAGATCATTGGCTGGACACTGAAAATACCAGGTGAAGTAAAAAACTAGTTGCCAAAATAACTGGCTAATTTAACATTTACAGTTGCCTAAAAGACAATCCTTAATGTTGAGAAGAATTGTTGGGCAAGTGCTAGAATGGTGAATAGTCTCTGTGTAATGTGCCAACTCTGCTTCATGACAGCCACCTGAGCTCTACAGTTAGGGTTATGAGGTTGTACCTGGGCTCAGTGTGAGATGTTGATAGGTTTCCTGGCTGAAGGCCCTTAGAGATCAAATTCCTTCATGTTACAGATGGAAAACTGGGTCCCAGATAAGGAAGCTACCTGCAAGTCAAGTCACATCGAGGCCAGAACTGAGATCCCTATGCTGACGGAACCACCACCTCCCACATAGCCTGGGCCCGCCCTCTGTGTACATGGGAGGCCCTCTTCCTCTGTGCTCACACCCTGGGCCCTCCCTGGTCCAGATGGAGGGACTGCTGTCCTAAAGCATGGCCCCAACCTCTGCCCTGCTGTCAAACCTGCCTTCGCCGAGGGCCATCCCTGGGGTGCTGCGTGTGACCTTCAGAGAGGATCATCCTTGGACACACGGTGAGGCGGAACCACCCCCTGGGCCGTGCCTGTGGGCGGGGGTGGGCCCAAGATCTGCTTTTAATGACACAGTTTGGCCATCTGAACTCTGTCTGTTCCAACAGGTAAATTACAGGCTTAGCAAGTCAGAAATCAAATAAACACTCCAACTCCCAGCAGCTGCTCCAAGGAGGACAGTGGTTTCCGGGAACAGCAGAGGCTGAGACAAACCACCCCACCCAACTCAGCCTAATTACTGCCTGCCACAACCTGGGACAGGGGCCTTTTCTTTGACTCACAGGCCCAAGACACAGGACAGGGCTGCTGGGTACCCCGAGGTGACACAGACTTTGGTGACCAGCCTGTTTTTAACAAGCCCTAGACACAAGCAGGTGCTGCCAGGCCTAGCCACAAGCTGTCTAGTGTTGCTGATGCCTTGCTCTAGGAGGGTTGGATGGCTCCTTAACATGGCAGAAGATAGCAAACAGTTTTCACTTCATATGCCAACTTCAATCTGTTGGCAGTGGCTGCCCAGAGTCCTGTGCTGATCATTTGAAAATTCTGTCCAGATTTAAAAGAAAAAGTACCAAGACTGATTATTGCTATCTGAAATACAGAAGGGAAAGGAAAATGATGACCTCTGTGCTGTTCTTTGTCATCTTGGGCCACCCAATGCCACCACCACACTTGCTCAGAAAAATGAAAATCTTTCCACAGAGCTGAGTTCCAATGATCAGAAACTGGCAGATAGATGGGTCAATTGGAAGTCCCCAAGATTTTTCTGTTTCTCCGAAGTGTCCATGCACTGTATATCTTTACCAAGTAGCAGAGGTAGCCACAAGGGAGGAAGACAAGGAAGATAAACATCATTGTCTTTAGCCCTAAATCATGTTCATTCAGTTGTTCCTTGAGTTGACCCCACACGCCTACCTGTGTGGATCAGAAATTCAGATCCATTAATACATAACACTGAGGGGAAGTCCTATTTTAACATCTCCAATAATACCCAGCCTTGCACCTGGGAGGGGCAGGCACGTGGTGGCCTATAGTGGACTCCAGGTGCCTCTCAGGCCATCCCACATCCACCCACAGCCTGGGCCAGTAACAGGCATGGATAGGACCTCAGACAGGACTTTTTTGCCCTCCCAGTATGTACCTCCAGGGAGAGACTGTGTAGACACTACTTGACGCCTCAGACCTCCGGGGCTAGAGGCGGACAGTCACACAAACATCAGGCAGGGGAGGGGGAGCACAGGAGCCTGGAGAGGACCAAGTCCTGGCAGGAAGTAGAAAGGGGCAAGGCCATGATTTTGAGGGCCCCCCTTGCCAACCTTGGCAGGGTCTGGCTGGGTTTGAGGACTTCTTCCCCTAGAGAGTGGTCAGAAGTGACCTGGGGGTCCTGACCCGCATGAGAAGAGATGGCTGCAGCAGGGCCTGGCCAGCAGGGCCTCAGTGGCAGCCACAGGCCTTGACCACCATGTTGCGGTGCTTGCGCAGGATGACGTTGTTGCTGCTGTCATAGTAGAGCACAGAGGTGGCGCTTAGCTTGGTGGGTGCACAGCATGCCTTGGGGACTGCGTCTGGCTTCATCAAGTGCACCTAGCCAGAAAGGGGGCATAGGCCGGGGCATGAGCTGAAGATCTTCTCCAAGGAACCCCCCCATCCCGGCCCCAGCTGTCCTGTTTCTGGCCCAATCCATCTCCAGGACACAGGAATAACACAGCCCTAAAGACAGGCCCTCAGTGTCCTGGGAGCAAGAGTTTTAGTAATCAGTTGTGTTCGGGGAAGAACATGTGGCAGGGGTACTGGGTAGGTAGGCAGCATGGTGAATGAGGGGCCCCCGTCCTAGGCCCAGGGCTCAGATTCCCTCCTGTGGATAAGGGAAGGAAAGACCAAAAGTCTCACAGACAAGAATGATGTGGTCAGTTATGAGCTTTAGTAAGATCCTGTGGGCTGCTGTGTGGGCAGTGGCCACAAAGAGGGAAACTAGAGGGCCCTACTTTCTTCTCTTGCCTCTCAGGACCCCAGGAGGCTCCCCTCCCACCATGCAGCCGCCCTTCCCAGGCTCCCTGTGGCCTCCAGGAGCCTAGGCCTCAGCCACCTCTCCTGCATACCAGCTCCTTCTCCCCAGAGACTTTGTCTATTCCCCACCATTTGAGACCCTCCAATGCCCACGTCTCTCAGCTTTTCAGCATCAGCTGGGCCTCTTCCTGAACGGCTCACTGCAGATCCTGCTGCCCACCTGCCTTCTCCACTCGGAGACTAACAGGGCCTCGAGCAGAACTACTGATTTACCCCGACCCTGACAACATCCGGCCCCCAACTCAATCCCCTCATCAGATTGACTTCTCCCCTCATTACTCCCCGGAATGGGCCACAGGCTCAACCTCCACCACTACCTGCCTGGACCACCTTCCTGGCTGCCTGGTCCCAGCTGCCATCACTTCTCAGCCCTCACTCTTCTCCTGCCTCCTCCACCCTCTACCCCTGCAGCCAGAGAGGTACCTCTGGAGGGTGACGCGAATCGGGAGAGTGCTTTGCCAAAACGCTCCAACAGCTTCTTGGTTTACTTGGAATAAAACCCACCCTCCTCTCTAGGGGCTCCCAGGCCCTAGGGGAGCGGACCCTGCCCACCTTCAGCATGACCTTCCTCCAACATCCCTTTCCTCACTGCACCCATCACCCCACCCCCGCTGCGGGCCCTGAACCACCAAGCTTGCTCCTGTCTCCGGGCCTTGCACTTGCTCCTTCTCCCCGGAACATTCTCCCTCCAGCTCCTGACATGGCCCTTCCTTGTGCAGAGAGCCCTACCCAGTCTCCCTCCATTGGGGGCCCTCTGTCTTCCTCACAGGACACATCTCTTGAGGGTGGGTTTCCTTCCGTGATCACCCACAGCCTCCCCTAGAGGGCGCCTGTCCTGACTGTTTAGTTGAGCCGCTGAGGACCTGGGCTGAGGCTGGGGCAGGGACAGAAGGGACAGTCCTGGGGGGCGCAGTGCAATCACCTGGGTGCACCTCCCTCCCCTGCGGCCCTGAGACCCACACGCATAAAGGGTGGCTGGGCTGGGCCACCCCACACATCCTGCCATCACCCCTGAGTGTTCCCAAGGAAGGCAGCTCCAGGCGTCCAGCAAACGCCAGGTGACCGCTGAGAGGGGAAGTGTAATCGAGGCTCAGAGCCCTTTCATCTGTCCCTTTCATCCCACGCCAAGGCGTCACCTGTACACAACCTCTTAGTAGAAGAACACATGGCCGAGGGGCACCAGGAATGAGGATTCTAGGTTAAAAATTCTAGAAAGCCGGGCTCGGTGACGCAGCCTGTAATCCTGCACTTTGGGAGGCTGAGGTGAGTGGATTGCCTGAGCCCGCGGGTTCGAGACCCGCCTGGGCAACTTGGCGAGGCCTCATCTCTACAATAAATAAAAAATTAGCCAGGCGTGGTGGCGCGCACCTGTAGTTCCAGCTACTTGGAAGGCTGAGACAGAAGGATTGCTGGAGCCCAGCAGGTCGAGGCTGCGGTGGCTGGGAGCGGCCACTGCACTCCAGTCTGGACGACGGAGTGACACTCCAACTCAAAAAAAAAAAAAAGTTCTAGAAGGAGGTCTCAACACCAGAATCAACAAACATACAAAACACTCAGCAATAAGCAGCAGCAGCAATGTTCCCATAGGAAACTTTGGCATCATTTAAAGTTGCCCCAGACACCGAGGCATCAAATCCATATGATCTGGAGAAAACAAACAGCCAAGAAAGAAACCAGGGGCAAGTCAAAGGGTACGAACCAAACCCAGACTCTCCTGCCTGCAGCATGGCAGAGGTGGAGGAATGCACACACATGTCGCCCACACCGTGTGCAGATGTATCATGGGCGCCCAGACATGCCAGTACTCAGGTGCATGTGTGCGTGAAGGTCACACAGGTCCCCACACAGGGCTGCGTGTCTCTGTGTGTGCTGTGTTGCTGGACATCCACACACATGGGCATAGGTGTCCCACATGAGCGCATCAGTGCATAGAACATGGCCGTGTACATGACTATTTTGTGTATGTGTGGGGCGTATTCATGTTTAGGAGTGTGTGAGTCTGCATCCAGTGTGGCCATAGGAGGGACTCGTTTCTGTAGAGCTGTGGGAATGTCATGGCATTACTGACTCTGTGCAGAGAAGCCTCCCTGAGACACGGAACAGGTACCCTCATGCCCTCCTGGTTGGACCAGCCCCCTCTCATCAGTCCCTTCCCCACCAGAGGTCTGGACAGGATGACAGTACTGACCAGGGACTGCAGGATGGCATGGTTGGTGGCGTTCATGCAGGAGTCCAGCGGGAAGGAGCACTCCCCCTCACAGTAATAGGCCGAGTAGCCTTCGGGGGCGATGACCCAGTCCTGGGAGCATGGGAGAAGGTGAGTCTTGTCCACGTGCTACCTCCTGAACCCCTCAGTCCTGTCAGGGGACATGTCATGGGACAGCACAGAGCTGCCCCTGCCCCTCCTAAACTTCATGGCCCACCAACCACCCTCGGCCCCTACAGGGCAGCCTCCCACAGAGGCCTGGGTCCACCCATGGGCTCTCAGCAGACAAGGCCAGCACTCTGTCCCTCACTCCCCATCCACACTCTGCATCCTCCTCCCAGCCTGCCCTCCCCACCTGTGCCTCCTGGAGCTGCAGTCGCAGCAGATGCACAGAGGCATGGCCACCCCGGCCTCAGTTTCCCTGTTGCAGCACTGACAGCTTAGTTGGATAAAGACTCAGTCTTCATTTCCTGGTTTTTATCAAAAAAAAAAAATTCTCACTATATCAATAATATAGTCTCACTTTAGAAAACTTGGAAAACAGAAGAAAAAACACAGAAGAAAAGCAAAGTCACCCATAATTCCATATTCTCCCTGCAGATTCACTTATGATCTACAGATGGCTGGAGAATGTCATTTAAGAAGGATGGAGAAGTGTCAGAAATTACCAGCCAGCCGAGGTCCTGGAAGCTGACGTAGAGCTCATGCCGACGGCAAACCTGCCGGCCGTTGGAGCCATGGATGTCATCTGCGGGGAGAGATGGTGTAAGGTGTTTTCTGTGTTTCCTGCTCTGTGCAGCTACCATGGGACGCCAGGGTGGGGATGCCCTGATGGGCACATTTGTCAAATAAACAAATGGCAGGAAACCATTTAGATTCATAAAGCCCATCCTATGATCTCTCTGCTTATGCCATGACCTAGCTCAAGAGACTTCCATGGCTCCTGATGACTAGAGTAATCTGTGCTCAGCCTGATGCCCCTCTATTTCAGCCTGGGGGCTCCTGATGCCCCAATAAAGAGCCCAGCAAGACCCTTAGCCATCCTGTGCCTCCTCCTTTCCTCTGGAGCTCCCCCCGCCTCCAGGCCACCCTCTCCTGCCATACCCATTCCACAAGTTCAAGTGGCTCACACTGAGGCCAGCCAGATCCCTATGAGGAAGGGCATGTGGTCAAGGCAGGCCTGTCCCTGATCTCGAAAGACTTGGCGCATTGAGGCAACACCTTTGCATAAGCAATTGAGGATCTTCCAGAGTGCCCAGGGTACAGCCAAGGGTTAAGAGGGGCTGTCGTTGCCCAGGTAAGAGGCATTTGATTCTGATGGAGGCTCCTGGGAAAGGCCTGGAGGAGCCAGCTAGGCCAGAGGTCTCTGGAGTGGCCAGTCATCAGGATACATCAGTGCAAAGACATTGTCAGGAAAGGTGGCTGGCAAGTGACCATCAGCTTGAAGCGTACTGAGGCCCTGAGGATCCTATGCCACCACCTGGTTCCTGCCTTGTCTCTCCCAGCTGAAAGCCTGTGGGACCTCAGACAAAGCCCAGCCCCAGACCTCACCAAAGATCCCTGGGAGTCTGTGGGGGTGCGGCAGCTCATTGGTTTTCTTCAGCTGCCTCCTCCTCAGTGGCCTCACAGCCCGAGGGGTGCGGATAGGACTCGAACTGGCCCTGAAGAAAGTGACCATGAAAGGCTGTCTGGAGCGCGGTGCCCGTTGCCCCATTAGGCCGGCCAGGTCAGGATCCACGCTGTGCCCTGAGACAGAGAGAGGAGAGAGGGGTCACCCACAGGCAGTGGCCTTGCACACAGCAGGGACCTCCCTGGATCTTGGAGGCTGAGAACCTGAGGGGATCCATTGAGCCTCAGTTTTCTCATCTGAAGCCCAGAGTCCTAAGCGACCTGGCAGGTGGATCTGGAGGAAGTGGGGTGGGGGAGGGCCTCAATGAGCCACTGGTGTCATTAGTAGTGATGATAATCATTTTACAGGTATCAAAGACTTTTCCCACTGATGACCTCAGTCAGTCTTTCTAGTCATCCCACAGTTCATCCTTTACAAAAGCACTTCAGAGCCTGACCCAGAGCTCCACTGCCTGTGACTCCCAGACCAGGGCTCCCACTTCAGTCAGTCTGAGGACTCAGCCCCATGTTCTGTCTCCTGGCCACACTTTCTGGGGTGTGAATGTAGCACTTATGAACCAGATAGTTCATGGCAGCCTCTGCCAGCTTTAGCCTCCCTGATGCCCACAAAGGAGATGCCAGGCTCAGCAGGGAAGAGACATTGGAGCCAAGTCCAGAGTTGGGGGTTCAACTCACGTCAGTTTAATTCCAGAGCCCAAGCTCTTATTCACAAGGTCGAGTTTAAGGTTAAAAAGAAGAAGGAGAAAGGAAGGTGACCTGAGCTGCAGCCCTAGGAAGAGAGAAGCCTGGAAACTGCGATTTTCCCCCCAGCCACATCCAGACTGAGGATGCCCTTAAGAAATGGTCATGAACCCTGGACACACAAAGCCTCCCCAGTAAAACTACGCATTCTACCTTACTTGTCTGGATTTCAGAGAACCTCTCTCCTTTCGTGTTGTAAAAGCAATAAAATAACCACAGTAAAGAAAATTTTGAGAAAAAAATATCCTTTTAAAGTCCTTCTAAGGCCAGTACATTGATTTTCATTTTTCTGGGCTGTTTTCATTATGTTGATTTAAGTTTGATGTAGTCGTCATCCCAGCAAAGAAGTCTTTTTCAGTTTTTGAGCATAGACCTTTTTCTGGTTGTTATAATAAGCCTCCACAATAAACATTTCAAATGTACAAAATCCCTTAGAGCAGATATGTCATAATCTATGTAGATATGGCTTTTTGTTAGACATGTGGGTATTTCCTGGCATTCATGGTAAAGATGAGAGTGCCATGGGACCCCCGCACCTTACAAATGTGTGGAATTTCCTTATACGGAATTGCAGAAGTGTGATTTCCAGCTTATTTTGTCTCTTTAAACATAGTTCCCCCAGGTGCAGTGGGTCACACCTGTAATCCCAGCAATTTGGGAGACTGAAGCATGAGGATTGCTTGAGCCCAGGGGTTTGAGACCAGTCTGGACAACATAGCAAGACCCAAAATCAAGAAATTCGCCAGACACAGGGACACCTTTTGTCCCAACTACTTGGGAGCCTAAGGGGAGAGGATCACTTGAGCCCAGGAGGTTGAGGCTGCGGTGAGCTGTGATCTTGCCATGCAACTCAGCCTGGGAGACAGTGAGACCCCGACTCAAGAAAAAATGTAGTTCCAACTGTTCGGTTTACCTGAGAGCACACTTTACCTTCATATTACAAGCACCAATACACACACACACATGTATATGTGTATATATAAATACACAGACATACATGCATTTATATAGACATTAGATTTATACACATTTATATATGCATTTGAAATACAGATTTACTTATCCCTAACACAGTGCTCCATGATCTATTACAGCTCAAGGACACTGCCTGCCCCACCCACGGTCCCACTCAAAGGTCAGCCCTTAAGCAGCTGTGCCTCATCCCAGGTGTCCACTGGCCATTTGCTTGAACAACCTATCAATCCAGAGACCGACCTTTGACCTGTGACCTCACCTGCCACAAACACGTCCTGAGAAGGAGAGGCTCCTTCTCAGGAACCTGGACAAGGGCTGCCGAGACGGGGAGGCCATGAGCTGCAGGGGCCGATGCTGGAAGGAGGCCCAGAGGGAAGCCACTGGGCATTTTGGGTCCTGGTGAGTCAAGGTTATGGGGAAGCAGCTGAGCTACCAGGAAGCAAAGCCTCAGGGGCACAGGGAAGGACCGGTGAGGTCTCAATGGGGGGAACACAGCGCGCGAGCGGGGTGGCCGGCGGCCACACGTGGACTCTGCAGGCTGGCTGGTACATGGGGATGGCTTGGACCAGGGG